GCTCCCCCAAAACACACATAGCATACTAGTATCAAAACAGTAATAACGGCGGCCGTGTTGTTTCGGAATTAAACAAGATGGCGGCGGACGGACCATATGCGCGAAAGTGCCTATCCAGTATAGGCAAATTCAGTGAACTTATGAGTAAATGCGTGCGAATGCAGCGCTGTGTACGGAAGCTACAGTACATGTATGTGATAAGGCGGCATTCGCTATAATGTACTTTTATTTATCGTTTCCCCGTAACCTTTTGATTGTTTACTGTAACGCCGTAACAAGAGCACTAAAACCGTAACAAATACGGCAAAACCGTGACGGTTAGCATCTCTGCGGTGATAAACAGACAGTTTCTCAGATTTTCTGTGATGTTTAACCAATCTTTACTCGATAGAAGGATATCGGTAAGGTGAGAATTCTTGGTAGATTTTTGTTTGATTTCGGCATATAAAAGGGATATCGACTGCTTTAAAAGGATCGTTTAACAATGTCAAATCTGAGATGCACGGCCCTACGTGTTATTCGTAATCAGTGTGTGTGAAATGGTAATATATTGAAGCCCTAAAAAAATTGCGATTCAAAATGATCAAGAAGTGCCTCAAAAAATTTAAAAGCTTTGAGTGACCTGTTTTACCATACAGTAAATCTCTGTGTATAAGGCGCACTTTTTTTCCGTCAGCAAAAATAAAAAGTGCGCCTTAAAGTTATACACAGGAACAGGATATTTTGAGTCTCGGAGTCTTTGCGTCTCGCTCCAGGTGCTCGGCCGTGTCAAAGCGCGGTGCGACGTCCCAGTCATCGTCGACGTCGTCGATGGGTCCGCACGTCCTACTTATCCGTCACGAATTTCATGCTTTAGCATGAAGTAAAAATGGCCGAGCGGTATAGGCGCCAGTTTCGTTCGATTCACCGGCAGCTTTTGCACCTTTTGCACGCACAGGTTCGATCTAGTGCTGTAGCCGAACCGCCGAACCAAACGGAAGTTCGCCGAACATGGCACTCCCGAACCGAACCGAGCCGAACCGAACGCAAAGGCCTGGTTCGGATGTTCGGCAAAAAAAATGTAAACGTTTTTGTAAGCTAATAAACTTTTCATTTTGTACCTAATTTTCATGTTATGATTGCTCATATTATATTTACTTTTTTCCCATTTTCCGCCCTTGTGATTTATGCCTATCCAGTGGTGGGCGCAACTTCACTGGCACCATTTAAATCCCAAATCCTGACCACGCTACGTCGCGATCGCAAGCCATAAACAAGAATACATGTGCGTGATCAAAACAAGTTCAGCTCAATTTGCTCAAACCCATTGAACAAAAAATTAATATTTTAATTGTAACCATATTGGACAAATTTTACAATATAAATAATGAAATAAATATATATTATAGTATGGTATTTATTTATTCACGAAAAATAGGGATTTTATATTTTTCCTATTGAAAATAAAAACTTATACAAAACAGTTCTTGGCGAGCCTGAAAGTCTCTATTCAAGATGGCACCTTTTATGACTCTAACATTAGACAACAACCGTCTCGGAAAATCTTTAAAAATATCATTTATTGACAAATTGAAAACATGAGTCTTTTAAAATTGAAAATAAAACACGATTCAAGACGGAAATACGAATGTAAGTAGTATTTTTCTTCACAAATAATTACGTTTAGAGCAGTTTTTTAATGTGAAATTTGTGCTGGTCGGAAGCAGTGTGCAGAAGTCCTCCGTGCCGGTCGGGCCCGGCAGGGCGGGCGGCCTGCCCAGTCCCGACCGCCGTGGCTATAACGCTGCTTGCTATTAAATTACCGAACCCCGAACCGAACCAAGTTCGGGTGAAAAATTGCCGAACTCTGCCGAACCGAACCGAACACGAACATAGCGTCTGACTTACAGCACTAGTTCGATCCCGCCTCCAACACAAGTTTTTTTTCTTTCCTGTGTTTGTATGATATATTTTAGATATTGTAATCTTTACCATTCTTTTAATTCTAATTAAAATGTAATATTTAAAATTTAATTTAAATGAGAATACATTTAGTCTTTATTTGATATTTATTAGCAAGTCTTTATTTGATATTTATTAGCAAGTCTTTATTTGATATTTATTAGCTTATTTCATGATGAAATCAATTAGATCTACATCTAGGCCTATAAATAAAATCAGTGCAACAGATGTCTTCCCATCCACGTCCAAACTTAGAGACCTATTTCCATCATTATTGCCGGGATTTTTATATAGTTTTCGTGAATGGAGGTATGAAATCAAAGCTTATTTTGTGATTATTCTGGCACGCAACTGAGTTTTGATTATCATTTATTAAAGGAAATTTTTCACAAGAAAATCAGAGAAAAACATTGTTCAGTTTCAAGAGCTCTGCCGTACGCATACAGTGTGTAGAGCAGTGCACTCTACATGTACATGTAGCTGCGCTGGCTGCTTGACTGAGTGAGTGAGCTATTCAGAGTCGAAGAGACTATGAAGGGCCAAACATGCCGATATTCGTACAACTATATGCTATATTATGTCTATCCATCCATGCGGCTATTTACGTCTATCCATTCATTGAAGTAGGCCTACATGTGAACACAACAGCGTGCATGCCGAAGTGCCATAAGATCGTTGGGGGGGGGGGGGGGGGGAAAGAAAAAAATCTGCATCTTACATGTTACACGCATGTGAAACATTTTTCAAAGTGTGGGGGGGGGTCAGGTAGATCAAAGCGAGTTGAGTGTAGGCGTGGGGTCCACGGGTTGTGGGGGGGGGGGACGAGGGGGATCAGGTGTTTTGAAGCGAGTTGAGTGTAGGCGTGGGGTCCACGGGTTGTGGGGGATGGGGGGGGGGATCAGTGGATCAAAGCGAGTTGAGTGTAGGCTTCGGGTCCACGGGGGTAGAGTTTCGTACCAACTACGCCGAGCGTACGCAAGATGGACGCAAACAATTACATGTAAACATGTTCAAATTTTTGGTAGCAGCGCCCCATGAATGTGTGGCTGAGATAAACGCAAAATGGCTGCCACAGCAAAGAGCGCCCGTTTAACGGGCGCAAACAGCTAGTTGTACTAAATATTGTCAGAAGGTACATGGACAATAGTCTACCATGTCTACTGTGATTAAATCATTGTTTTTCAGAAAAATACTCCAAAAATAGCAAGAAAATTGACACGAAACAGGTAATAAACATACCAACTTTTAACTCATGATCTTTATTTGGACATTTAATGAATATTTACTTCATTTTGGGTATGTTTTAGTAGACCTCTATCTAGGTATCTCCACGCCAGAGTTACAGGTCATATTTTGGATACCATACTGAACAAGCGCCCTGGATTGATATCTGCAAATTATGACACGATCACATGCAGTGGATTTTGAATGAATGAAGGAAGGTGGGCATTATATAAGTCTTAAAGGTACTATGTCCCTTTTGCAGCCAACCTCAAATGCTGTAGAACTTTGCAGGAATTATGAATATGTCATGTATGTCCTATCTGTGAAATTTAAACGTTAGCAGTGTCCTCATATTCAAATTCTGCAAGGAAACCTGTTTACTTGCTAGACTTCACTGTCAGACACTATTGAGTGACTGACTGGCTTTTTTTCTTCTTTGGTAATAACATACATGAAAAGAGTTGTAAAGGGTACATGAGCATTTGTCTACATCAATAACCCACTTCTTGTGATGGCCAAGATTAAACGTATGACTATTCGGTACAATTGTCTGAAAATCTAAGACTATTACTTTTGGGCTCTATAGCCCTAAAGTCGATTTGACAACTAATAGTCGTTATTTTCCCACTTGAAGACATTTTCAAGCCCCACCATTTCTAGGGAAGTTCCAAATTAGTATTATCTTTCAAATGCAGTTGGAATTTAACTTTTTCATTTTTTGGGCCTGCAAATGGGACATAGTCTAGACCTAGTCCCTTTAAATTAGAGTCTGTGAAGACAGGTAACTAGATCTAGGCCTAGATCTATAGTAGGGACTTTTCGATTTGCACGTTCACTAGTGGACTGCGACGTATGCGGTCACTTTTGAATCAGTGCGCATGCGCATCGACGAGCTCATCGTTCGTAGCAGAATTCTCGAACGCGTTTGCCCTTGTTTTGCCGTCGTTCGCAAACTGTGACGATACATGTTCGTAAGCAATCTTTTGTAGGCACGAAACATCACATTGAAGTCACAAAATGGACCCAATTGACCTGATTCTAGAACCGGAGAGTGGTGGAAGCATGAATTCTCTTAAATTAACACATGTTCGTGTCTGTAATTTCCCTTAAATCAAAATTGTTGCAGAATAATTCATAAAATGAACACATTTTATTTGTGTATCGCCAATTTGTTGCAGCATTATTTTCAAGATCAGTCCCATGCACCGAATTCGGTGTGTTGAATCTTTAGCTTTTCGAACGAAATTCGCGCTCACTAGACCCTAAGCAGAATAATTCATAAAATGAACACATTTTATTTATGCAACGCTAATCTGTTGCAGCATAATTTTTGAGAACAGTGCCATGCACCGAATTTGGTGTTATATCTTTAGCTATTCGATCGAGTTTCACGCTCACTAGAGTCTAGACTAGGCCTAAGCATGCTAAGCGAGAGTCGTAGTTGTGTAAAATCGTAAAGGTAACGAACAACAGTCAGCGTGCCTCGTTAACCCTGCTTAAAAATGACCGCATACGTCGCAGTCCACTTATGAACGTGCAAATCGAAAAGTCCCTAGTGTAAAGTACTCGTTCGTTAGTGCGTTTGCACGCACTTGTAATGAACACACGTGTAGATCTAGCCTAGATCTACTGCCTAGATAGAAACGCTCTTGAAGAGCGTCACAAAGCGAACCATCGCCCCGCCGTACACATGGTACAGCTGTACAATACTAGTCTAGACCTGTACACTATATCGGTGTATCAATCAGTGCAGTGTACGGTATCATGTGCAGCTAGTACTTGGTGCATGGTGCTATTTTATTTTACGATGATCAATGCTCATTAATATACGGTACCTCTGTTGTGTTGTATAGCTTCCAGATAAGTTTCCATGGCTCCTGGTTCATTATGATCGGGAGAAGTCATCTCTAACGTTAATGTTAAACTTAAAGCACCTGTTTTCTCGTACCTGTTTTCTCGAGAGCCTACACAATACCATTCATTATTAGCGTGCATATTGTGACCTCAAGCCAAGTCGTTTAAAATTAAAAATTAAACGATGATCATGATCGATGTAGATGTACAATGTTATTTATTTGTGAACGTTTAATTTGAAAGGTTTATGATATTATGAAACTTTTGGACATTTTTTTGTAGGATTTGTCAGTAAATATAAGATGAAATTGTCAGATTTTAATGTTTAGTCATGCAGGGAAAAGTTAAGCTTTCGAACATTTCATTTTTGTCATGTGTTTTTCCATCAAATTTGTTAGTTATCATGCGCCCATTTTTTTTATTTTACAGAAAAAAGACTCAAATGTACGGAGCCCCGGAAGTGACATGGAGAATTTTTTTTTTTCTCGTTTTCCTGAGATAAATTCTCGTTTTCCTGAGATAATTTTTCGTTTTCCTGAGATAAATTCTCGTTTTCCTGAGATAATTTTTCGTTTTCCTGACATAATTCTCGTTTTCCTGAGATAAATTCTCGTTTTCCTGAGATAATTTTTCGTTTTCCTGAGATAATTCCCGTTTTCCTGAGATAAATTCTCGTTTTCCTGAGATAAATTCTCGTTTTCCTGAGATAATTTTTCGTTTTCCTGAGATAAATTCTCGTTTTCCTGAGATAATATTTCGTTTTCCTGAGATAATTCCCGTTTTCCTGAGATAAATTCTCGTTTTCCTGAGATAATTTTCCGTTTTCCTGAGATAAATTCTCGTTTTCCTGAGATAATATTTCGTTTTCCTGAGATAATTCCCGTTTTCCTGAGATAAATTCTCGTTTTCCTGAGATAATATTTCGTTTTCCTGAGATAAATTCTCGTTTTCCTGAGATAAATTCTCGTTTTCCTGAGATAATATTTCGTTTTCCTGAGATAATTCCCGTTTTCCTGAGATAAATTCTCGTTTTCCTGAGATAAATTCTCGTTTTCCTGAGATAATTTTTCGTTTTCCTGAGATAAATTCTCGTTTTCCTGAGATAATTTTTCGTTTTCCTGAGATAATTCCCGTTTTCCTGAGATAAATTCTCGTTTTCCTGAGATAAATTCTCGTTTTCCTGAGATAATTTTTCGTTTTCCTGAGATAAATTCTCGTTTTCCTGAGATAATATTTCGTTTTCCTGAGATAATTCCCGTTTTCCTGAGATAAATTCTCGTTTTCCTGAGATAATTTTTCGTTTTCCTGAGATAAATTCTCGTTTTCCTGAGATAATATTTCGTTTTCCTGAGATAATTCCCGTTTTCCTGAGATAAATTCTCGTTTTCCTGAGATAATTTTTCGTTTTCCTGAGATAAATTCTCGTTTTCCTGAGATAATATTTCGTTTTCCTGAGATAATTCCCGTTTTCCTGAGATAAATTCTCGTTTTCCTGAGATAATATTTCGTTTTCCTGAGATAAATTCTCGTTTTCCTGAGATAATATTTCGTTTTCCTGAGATAAATTCTCGTTTTCCTGAGATAATATTTCGTTTTCCTGAGATAAATTCTCGTTTTCCTGAGATAATATTTCGTTTTCCTGAGATAAATTCTCGTTTTCCTGAGATAATATTTCGTTTTCCTGAGATAAATTCTCGTTTTCCTGAGATAATATTTCGTTTTCCTGAGATAAATTCTCGTTTTCCTGAGATAATATTTCGTTTTCCTGAGATAAATTCTCGTTTTCCTGAGATAATATTTCGTTTTCCTGAGATAATTTCCGTTGTAAAATGAACAGTTAAAATGAATTGAAAAAATACAATTTTCTTCTAATTTTATAACGTTTTGGCATCTGAATGCCCCCCCCCCCCCCCCCCCTGAGTACGATGTCATATATATTTACTGTAAATTGCGAGCGGGCGAAGAGCGCAATTAACAAATAAAAGACACTAGTCTTACTCGTACAAATTTAGGTACAATACCAATTTGGATGATAAATCTTGATTTAAGAACACTTTATTAACAGACTGCCCGATTACAATAGGGGACAGCCCACGAGGCCGACGGCCGTCAGCCTAGGGCCTAAATCCAGTTTTAGGGGGGTATTCAGCAGGCGCGGATCCAGGATTTCTTAGGGGGGGGGGCCCAAATTTGAAATTTTGCGAGCCAAATATTGGTACGTAATGGTGACCAACAGTGACGTAATGCGGGGGGGGGGTCGGTGCAGGGAGGGGCGATTTTCCCCCTCCCTCCTCCGCGAAACGCGGAAGCTCTGACGTTTCATTAAATTATTAGAGAAAAAAGACGATTCGTTGTACCGTTTTCGAAAATAATTCTCGTCTGAATTTAGTTTTCCCCCTCCCGCGCGAAGCGCGGAAAATTTTACGATTTATTAAATTATTAGAGAAAGAAGACGATTCGTTGTCGAGTTCTCGACTCTTTATCCTCGTCTGAATTTAGGTTCCCCCCTCCCGTGCGAAGCGCGGAAGCTTTTAAATTTCCTTAAATCATTAGAGAAAGAAGACGATTCGTTGTATCGTTTTCGAAAATAATCTGCCCCCTGGATTTCACCTAGGGCCCTTCGGCGGGCCCTTAGATGCTCATCTGACGGTAATTTAATGCCTATAAAACCCCTGATATTTTGGGCTCCGCCCCCTGGACCCCACGCCAATTAGTGACGTGCCAGTCTCACAAAATAATAAGGTATACAAAAAAATGCTCATCTGACCTTAATTAAACGCCTAAAACCCCCTCCGCCGCCTCGACCCCCCCCCCCCCCCCAGGGGCCCTAAGACGGCCCCAGATTCAGACAAGGATTAAGAGTATAGAGAACGATACAACGCATCGTCTTCTTTCTCTAATAATATAATGAAACGTCAAAGCTTCGCGCAGGAGGGGAGGGGGGGGGACTGAATTCAGACAAGGATTAAGAATCGAGAACGGTACAACGAATCGTCTTCTTTCTCTCATAATCTTATGAAACGTCAAAGCTTCCGCGCTTCGCGCGGGAGGGGGGAACCTGAATTCAGACGAGGATTCAGAGGCGAGAACGGTAATACGAATCTTTAATGATTTAATGAAAGGTAAAAGCTTCCGCGCTTCGCGCGGGATGGAGGGGGAACTAAATTCCGATGAGGATTATTTTCGAGAACGGTACAACGAATCGTCTATTTTCTCTAATGATTTAATGAAACGTAAAAGCGTCCGCGCTTCGCGCGGGAGGAGGGGGTTGGGGGAGAATCTAAATTCAGACGAGGATTATTTTCGAAAACGGTACAATGAATCGTCTTCTTTCTCTAATGATTTAAGGAAATTTAAAAGCTTCCGCGCTTCGCACGGGAGGGGGGAACCTAAATTCAGACGAGGATTAAGAGTCGAGAACTCGACAACGAATCGTCTCCTTTCTCTAATAATTTAATAAATCGTAAAAGCTTCCGCGTTTCGCGGAGGAGGGAGGGGGAAAATCGTCCCTCCCTGCACCGACCCCCCCCCCCGCATTACGTCACTGTTGGTCACCATTACGTACCAATATTTGGCTCGCAAAATTTCAAATTTGGGCCCCCCCCCCCTAAGAAATCCTGGATCCGCGCCTGCTGAATACCCCCCTAAAACTGGATTTAGGCCCTAGGCTGACGGCCGTCGGCCTCGTGGGCTGTCCCCTATTGTAATCGGGCAGTCTGTTAATAAAGTGTTCTTAAATCAAAGTGTTCTTAAATCAAGATAGATTTATCATCCTTTTTTGTACCTAAATTAATTTTGTACGAGTAAGACTAGTGTCTTTTATTTGTTAATTGCGCTCTTCGCTCGCTCGCAATTTACAGTAAATATATATGACATCGTACTCATGCAGGGGGGGGGGGGGGCATTCAGATGCCAAAACGTTATAAAATTAGAAGAAAATTGTATTTTTTCAATTCATTTTAACTGTTCATTTTACAACGGAAATTATCTCAGGAAAACGAAATATTATCTCAGGAAAACGAGAATTTATCTCAGGAAAACGAAATATTATCTCAGGAAAACGAGAATTTATCTCAGGAAAACGAAATATTATCTCAGGAAAACGAGAATTTATCTCAGGAAAACGAAATATTATCTCAGGAAAACGAGAATTTATCTCAGGAAAACGAAATATTATCTCAGGAAAACGAGAATTTATCTCAGGAAAACGAAATATTATCTCAGGAAAACGAGAATTTATCTCAGGAAAACGGGAATTATCTCAGGAAAACGAGAATTTATCTCAGGAAAACGAAAAATTATCTCAGGAAAACGAGAATTTATCTCAGGAAAACGAGAATTTATCTCAGGAAAACGAAAAATTATCTCAGGAAAACGAGAATTTATCTCAGGAAAACGGGAATTATCTCAGGAAAACGAAATATTATCTCAGGAAAACGAGAATTTATCTCAGGAAAACGAAAAATTATCTCAGGAAAACGAGAATTTATCTCAGGAAAACGAGAATTTATCTCAGGAAAACGGGAATTATCTCAGGAAAACGAAATATTATCTCAGGAAAACGAGAATTTATCTCAGGAAAACGAAAAATTATCTCAGGAAAACGAGAATTTATCTCAGGAAAACGAGAATTTATCTCAGGAAAACGGGAATTATCTCGGGAAAACGAAAAATTATCTCAGGAAAACGAGAATTTATCTCAGGAAAACGAGAATTTATCTCAGGAAAACGAAATATTATCTCAGGAAAACGAGAATTTATCTCAGGAAAACGGGAATTATCTCAGGAAAACGAAATATTATCTCAGGAAAACGAGAATTTATCTCAGGAAAACGAGAATTTATCTCAGGAAAACGAAATATTATCTCAGGAAAACGAGAATTTATCTCAGGAAAACGGGAATTATCTCAGGAAAACGAAATATTATCTCAGGAAAACGAGAATTTATCTCAGGAAAACGAAAAATTATCTCAGGAAAACGAGAATTTATCTCAGGAAAACGAGAATTTATCTCAGGAAAACGGGAATTATCTCAGGAAAACGAAATATTATCTCAGGAAAACGAGAATTTATCTCAGGAAAACGAAAAATTATCTCAGGAAAACGAGAATTTATCTCAGGAAAACGAGAATTTATCT